CATGCGAAGCAACCGGCGGTTAGCGACGGCATATGGGACACCGCCGGAAACCTGAGCGCGCAGGAGGCTCGCGCCCAATGGCGAATCTGGTTGGGAAACTACGTCTGATTCCAAGGGGCCGAAGATTTTGAACATGTCTTTAATCAATCACAGCGTTGGCTGGAACTTGCAATCGTACGGGTATTTCATTGCAAAACACCGGAGAGAAGCCCCAAAGGCTCAACATAGTGACCCTTGTCTCTTTTTTGCTGACAATCCTCTGCAGGGTGTGCACAATATGCTGCACGAATCCTGCAGTCAACGTCCATCTGTGTAAGTAGTCCGAACCACTCAGCTCACCCACTGTGGGACCAACTCAGCGCAACAAAGCAACGCTTCCCCATTTGGGGCCACAGATGGAGACAGAGAGTATTGTCCGAATTTCGCTTCGAACGGCGATGAACTCAGCTGTCCCCAAACTGGCAATGTGCTGGTTTGGAGGCTAGAGGGCTTTCAGTTTGGGTTTAGCAACAACTGGGGTTGTGCGCCCCAACCGCAAGCTGATTGCAGTTCATTGGATCCGAGAAGCGAATAACAACCTACTTCTTGAGGGAAGGTCCCGAGATCTCCGCTGCCAATGGGCAAAGCTACATCGCAGCGGCTGTCTAATGCCATGTGGGTATGGGTCAAAATTAAACCACCAGGGGACCGCAGGCCATTTACCAGGGTTCCATTTGGGGTACCTATTTTTTACCCACAGCCAAATAACGCTTGAGGCAGAGTGCAGGCAGCAAAATGCTGCCATAGTTCGCCGGGAATCTTCAACCTGTGACGCTTCAACGCTGCAGCCTTCTTTCCCCTGGAAGTGCCAACAGGCCATGATTTCAACCATGGATTTCGCCCATCCACATGACATGTGTTGATTTCTGCGTGCAAACTGACGCCGCGCACTATGCTCTTGCAATTGAAGCGAAGGACTGGAGCCTTCCCAACAAATGGAACTGGGGACCTGTTTTTAAAGGGGGTCAAAAGGATGAAACAAGAAAGCCGAATATGTCCCAGGGCAAGGAGCGTGTACGCTTGGATCCTTTGTTTCCTGGCTTTGGCAAGTTGGCAAATAACAACACCTTCCTTTTGGATGGTGTTGCAAACAGAACCTCAACTCAATACGAACCACTGGCAATTCTCTGTTCCCCAACAGGACGACCATTTTTCGCCCATGTCCCATATTCCGCCAAAAGGACCAGACCCCTCCCCCGTCTCCGGCCAGGGAGCGTCGGACTCTTCGCTCGAGAGCATCCGCGCATTGTAGGGGTCAACATCGCTCATCGAATGAGCCACCGCTCCCGAAAGGTGGTCTACTTCCTGAATGGACAGCCCACAAGAAGTCCCCGAACTTTGTGGTTTCCACTAAAATGGTCGCAAGAAGCTTTTAAAGTCCGGGAACTCAGAAAGCGAGTGATTACCTTGTGGGTGGATGTCATGCGAGTTGCCACCATATTTGTTGGGACCCTCCTTTGAGCTTAGCCGGTCCAACAGGAGTCCATAAACGGGGCCCAAATGGTTTGCAAGGTCGCAATCCGCCGAAGACCTGAAGAAAAACCTTGCATCGCTTACGAGGACATTCATTGCCTACCAGGAACTAATATGTCGCCTGGGCTTTGCACAAGGCACATGACGTGAACCGAGCGGAGAAGCGGGCATTGCGACAACATACTCTGGCTAGCAGGAATGTCGCGAGGCAAATCAATCACATCTCGCATTCTCTGGCATTGATTTGCATCGAGGCAAACAGGAATGCGAATGCGAGAAATGCCTCGATTCAAGCCTCATGTCTAGGCATCACGTGCCGGACAGTGCCGACAGCTGTGAGCCCAGCAGCGCATCGTCGTGCAAGGGTCTGATGGGAGTCCGGTTTGCGGGGCCTCCAAAACAGAAACAAACCTGGGTGTGATTCTAATCAGGAACCCTTTGGTGGACATCATTTAGGTGAAGATTGTTTTTGTTCACCGTTCACCAAACACTTTTCAGACGCTTCCCTATTAAACTTCATAGCCACCTGCCTTCACGACGTGACGATGTGTTTGTACCTGGCACCTATGCAAGTTACCCTTGAACAGCATGCTCCAGCTAGCGTTTCACATCGGTCGTTTGCGGCGAGATATGCAAAATGTGAGGACCGTGATCCCTCCGTGCCAGTCTATTCACCTGACCACGCATCCTGAAGGAACTCGTTTTGCGTGTCTTGCGATTTTTCCAATAGCGGCGTATCTAAAATGCAACCGGCTGGAGATGTGGAACCTGACAAAACTATTCGAGCGAGCCACTGGCAAATGAGTGAACCACTTTCAAACGAATGAGGTGAAACACTGGCAAAACACTTGCTAATACAGCGGCCGACATGGCAGTCAAATGACTCAACAGGCTCTTTGCTTACCACACACCTGTCAGTGTGAATTGCTTTTGTTCAACAGGACGCCTATGCAGTGAGGGCTAGAGCATCAGGTGCACAAAAAAAAAGACTCCCTGCCCACCTGTGGCAAGTCCCTCGCGATGGGCGCGGCCCACTCCGAGTCCTGTGTTGAGGGCCAGGCCCAAGGCGGGACCAGGACATGCTGGTCCAACGGCTAGGCATCGAAATAAATGAATGTGGTTTAAAACTAGGGTAACCTCACAATGGGTTGCCCTAGTAAATGGAACCGAGGACTAAAACCTGCGGTCCGGTTCCTGGCGGTTCAATTTTGACCCATACCCACATATCGGTTCGATGCTATCTTTGAACCACCACACATGGGACACGGGGTCCATGGCTGACATGACCATTGCCTTGGGCGCACAGGTCAGGGCTTTCAAGCACTTCTACTAGGCTTCATAGCCCCCGGCTTGGACATCAAACTGTACCTGCTGACGGTCAAAGCGCTTGCCTTGGCGTGATCAAACATGTCTTGCCCCGCCCGAGGAGTTGGGGAACCGAAGGTCATCAAGGGACTACCCCGCCTCCTGGGATGTCTCCTCGCACGCCCGCGGCTCGGTTTGCCTGGCCAACTGCCCGTCGGAAACCTCTAAGCTTGCTGGTTTCCTTGGCGCGAACCACCGGAACACAGGTTGAGGCCTTTTTCCCGTCCCTTTCAATCTGCCCCAAAGGGGACAATGAGGCCAGCCTCCGAAACGAATGAACATCACGCATGCCCTGCACAAAAAATACACTCAGCCACACGCCTGCAAGCATGGCCATGGATTCTGAGACATCATGGGAACAGTGTTGCATGCCGCGCAAAACCATTTGATCCATTTGGAGCCGCGTGCAAAAAAAACAAAAACAAAAACAGGGTAGCGACTGCCCAATCGCAGCTGAACGGGAATGCCAGATTGATACAGTTTTTTTTTTTTTTAACAAACGGGTTCCCTTGTTCTTGCATTCAAAGGCCCATGCCAACAGGCCTCACCAACCGCCGGGCCTCAAGCAACTTTGGCTGACCTTTCCGGTGAGATATCCTTTATAGATAGATCTTGCCACTGGAATCAAGTCACAGCAGCCTGACCAAACCGGCATGTTGATGGCCTCTACGCCCAGTCTGGTTTGTGGAATCGCTCAGCTCGCTTCAGCTGGCAACGAAATCCACGCTTCGCCACGGTGTTCCACAATAGTTGCTCTCGCTTTGCAAACAAGGCCATGCAAAGGGCTCGCATTTCCACCTGGCTGTCACCAATCAGAGGGTCTGTTTGTCGCATTGTCGCATAACTCCTCCCGGCGCCTCGACAGCGAGGGTGAAGGCATCTTTGCGGCACCTGTGATGGCAATTTGCCGTGCAGTGTGGCTGCATTTCAGTCCACGGAACCCACATGGTGACTCTTTTGAGACATAATCATGCTTGCTACAAATGTCCGGCACTCATATGAAGTCATACAAACACGCAAAAACGAGCAAACTTGCCGACAAGAGGTCCGCACGTGGCTCGACTGAGCATAGCATAGTTGGGCAAACAGATCAGCTCTGTTGCCATTGGCGTGCAGAGCTACTTCGCTAAAGTTGGCAAGCAAAGCTTTGACAGTACGGTGCACACGTCACAACACGCAACTATAGTCTTGACGCGGATGAAAATAGATAGGCAGGCAGAACACAGTTGACAGCAAGGTCTGCTCTCATGCCGGCTTTGGAGTTTGGAGATACCGCTCTGCGACGAACCATGCACAAAGGAGCTGCAAAATGTAGGCTGCCGTGCTGCAACCGGCGAATCTCTGCCAAAGGCGGTGGCCCTGTCGGCTGTTCTGAAAATGACGTCTGCCCCGCCTTCGTTTGCGCGCGCTTCAGGACTGATTGCCATGCATTCCTCACGTAGCGGATTTTGTTGGTTTCGGACGTCCACTTGTTCCAGAGGCAAGACATAGCAGAACGAGGTGAGTTTGGGGTACAACTTGTGGCTACATGCTGACTGCAAGAAAAAACGGCCGCACCCCGGATACTTGCCACACCATGGTCTGTTGTTGCAATCAAGGCAGAAGGTGATGGTGCTGACCCACTTTGGAGTTTGCTCATCGTCCATGTGAAAACGAACCATCTAATACAAAGGTTCCCTCGACCACTTGACTAGCTAGTTCTGCCCGTAGACCTGATGCGCGTCTCTCGTCTCCAAGGACGCAAGGAAGCACATAGATGCTCCAACATGAATCAAGACAGAGTTACTCTGGCATAAACCTTCTGGATCCTTCCACTGACATCGCGCTGCGCAACTCAAGAGGCCAAACATGAACAGGATGTAATTAGCAGTGAAAGAAAACCCAAAACTGCACAATGTAAGCAACCATGCTGGGGCTTCAAACAATTGACCAATGACACCTGCTGGGCAACTGATCGTTTGCTCACTTCCGAACTGGCATTCCCCATTCCAGCCCATCCACAGTATGAATGAGCCTAAAGATGCTTTAAAGTGCGACTGACTGATGCTTACATCACTCATCCAGTACTGTCGGTTTGCAAAAAAGTGTTTTGAGGGTACTCCTTGAATTGGTTCAAATGACCAATCGGAAAACCGCCATGTCGGGTCCAAATCCTGACACATCCACTTCGTCTGAAGCTGGTGACCCGAGGCAGTGTCCTTCACCAGACCAGGAGACACTTGCTGCCAGTCGGGTGAATGGTTGGCTCGGTTCTAGTTTGGCCTGGCAGCCGCCAGAAACAGCTAGTAGAGACTCTCAACATGCTCAAACAACACATTCATAGCTGGGGCGTGTGCTTTGAGGCATTGCGCGTTGTGTATGAATATGCTGATCTCTGTTGCAAATGTGTTGAGCTCACATGTTCAGGCTCCTTCCATGCGCTCGGTTCCGGACGGCGGACGAAGCGTTTGTTTGTGTACTTCCGCACTGCCTACTTCAAGGGGAGGGGTACTTAGTATGTTTGTTGGCAACATTGGTTATGACAGCTATGACGCACTTGCGATGGTTGTAAGTGTTCGTGGGAACGTGGGTGCCTAGCCACCTTCCAATCTCCCTGCCCCCCTTGTGACAGGCAGCTGGAACACACTATGTTTCTTGATGGTTTCAGCTCAGCTTCCGTGGAAAGCTTCTGAAAGCAGCAAGGGGCGACACTTCACCTAGGGTTTAGGTTGGTAGATACTGGGACCAAACGAAAAACCTCAAATACAGTGACTCACTCGCTGAGATTCGGAAGGGTCCTCCCTAAAGGGCATGTAAAGTGGGTATTCCAGGGCAATCGATTGGCTCCATAGATTCATAAGGAAAACCCACGGGCTGGTGAATGGGTTGGCAAGGAGCAAAAAGGAGTCCAAACACCTGCTTCTTGAGGTCGAACCACTGGGTTTGGACAATTTATTCACTTTGGACCCTTGGATAGGAGGAAAAAACGTTCCGTAAATGTTTAAGCCAGTGTGTAGTTGCGAGGGGTCCCTGCCGGATGATTCTAGCGTCTTGCACCCCCAACCAGTGCCAAAAGATCGGATGTCCACCAGACATTGACCCAGCGTGAGCACCAAATGGCATGGTCTTCCGGAAGAGCTTGAAGAGCTTGAACAATCGCAGATCAGAGCTCCAGCGTCAAGCCATCTTGCGCCTGGGTTCTGGGGGCAATTCGTGTGATCAGATCGATCGCCAGAGTCAAAGCGCCTCCTTTTCGAACAACCGCGTTACACTCGCCGGACGCGACAAGAGCGGTGCCGGATTTATCTGAGACCAACTTGCCCATAAGGAACAACAGATCTTGCAAAATTGTTGGATGTGGATGAGCTTTGAAGGGAGTGTCTGGTTCCATGCATAGCCAAAAAGGACCGGCAAATTCTTGAGTGCCATATGTGATCATTTGTGGAAGCAATCAGATACGGTTTCTTGCTTCAGGCCCCCTTGGCAAATCCGACACCGCTTCTACCAGCTCATTAACTCGCAATGCGATCATGTGCGCTTTGCGTGTACCATACTCGGCAATAAGCCCATCTTGGTGTGGGAAACGCAACCAGACCCCGAGTCCATCACCGCCGCACCATCACGCCGCAAGGCCCAGCCTGGAACAGCTGCCAAAGACCATGCATGGTGGTAAAGGGGTAATGGGTATGGCATCGGTGGTTGGGATACTGTGGATGGACGGAATCCTGAACCACCTAAGCAACCATGAGACACCTTGTTTGTTGGTATTTACAGGGGAATCAACATTCCAGGGTTTCTAGGTGGTGCAGGATTTCGTCCATCCACAGTATCACATTCTTTGCTGGCTCTGCAATCGTAATACTATATTCGGGCATATGCGGTTTCTTTCAGGACTCAGACTTCGCCAAAGTGTATAAGCTGCTCGACCTGGCTGGTGTACATATAGCGGGTCTCGTCCAAATGATCTATCATCGTCAGTGCAGGGAAGTGGCTCATGCCCATTGTCTGCCTCCAAGCAACTGTCGCAACATGAAACAACCATCTACACAAACCGCTTGTTTGACCTGTGCAATAATCGGAGAATGAACGAACGCGCACAAGAATAAAACACAAAGGCGCGTCTGAGGGCTACCTCAAGCGAAAACCATGCATGGTTTCCAAAATGGTAAACTCAAACCTTGGTCTTGGAATCGGTTCATGAACTGGCTCTCTAGGCTTCAGACGTTGCTCAATTCTATTTTGTCAACATCGTCTGCAGGTCACAAAACCCACTGCTTGTCTTCTGGCTTTGGAAACCAAACCCAACTACTGACATGAATATGTGCCATAATTGCAACTCCTTTGTGGACGGAGGGTATGGTCGTGGTTCACGACATGTGCAAAAAAAACATGCCGAGTTTACGCGGCGTTTGAACCTAATGACCAGCTACGGTTGGGGAAGTAGCTCTGAAAAAAACAACAGCAAAAGCGAGGATGTGTATCCACAAGTCCGCGCATCCCCAAATGAATATACCACACCCTCAAGCCATACGAGGCTTATTCATTGGGTATGTGGGGGAATGTATCCAGGATTGCCCATGTAGAACCAACTGTTCTGAATATGCCCATAGTTGAAGGGTATCTCAGTCGGATGTTAGAGTGTGGATGTTGCTTGAAGTTAGGGATGCAGGGGACCACAGGTGATGATTGTGTCGTAGCTTTTAGCCGCGGCGGCTAGCAAGCAGCAAGCTCTTGTGGCCATGCCCTTTTGAAGGACCCAGCCAGGAAAGCATCCCCACCCCTGGAAAAAGACGTGGAACTGCCGCTTACATTCCTTCTCATACCCACCTTGACCTTTTGGAGAAGGGTCACAACACCTTCATCCCTACCATACATTGCGTTGGACGACCAACCCGGTGCCAACCCCAGAAAGCAAAGATCGGCCAACTGGACCATCGCTACGCGGCCGGAACCGGGTCGTCAGGTCGGCGGGTCGGCGGGTCGTCGGGTCCCGGACCGGCCCCGGGGCAAAAGGAGGCCGGTAGCCCTGCGCTGCGACCTCGTCGTTCCGGAGGGTTCCAACGACCGAAGGGGAGATTGGTCAGGGAGGGTTCCAACAGGTAGGGTAGGGGAGACTCAGATTCGTCCATGGACTTCTTTCCCAAGGGAAAGCAAATAACAGGAGACAACAGTTGCTCCAGTCCGACTTCCAGCCGATGAGGGGTTGGCATGTCACTTGTTTTGGCTGGAACAAGGCGATCCGCAAAAAGAAACTCGTCGGAACGTATGGGTGTGCCTCAAAGGGGACCCCGAAAAGGTTAGTTTCCTTTTGGTTTCCCTTGGAACTGCTCGAAAAGGGGAATCCTAAAAGAGACCACACCCAGATGCGTTTACTCAACTGCCGCCACACAAGGTGGCGACTAGCGTCAAAACCCCTCAACTTCAGTCTACGCACATTCCCTCCAAACATGATCGAAGGTTATGTGTGTACAAAACCTGCATCTGCACGCAGCCTTCGTTGTACCCAACCTCTGCCCTGCAAAAGCTACATGTGCGCAGTCCAGCCCGAGCTCCGCACATAGCCACTGGGGGCTGTAGCAGCGACCTGGCTTTGAACTGTGACTGATGGCATTAGAAGGTAGCCAAGGGTCAGCTGATTGCTCAAATCTTGGACTTGAAACGATGAAGTGTGTGGCACTGGTGTGGCTGCATCATGCGGCGCTGCAAGAAAAGAAAGCACCACCAATCAAAGAGATACTCTTCGCTTTCAAACATAAGTGTCCTGGAAATGTTGCAAATGTAGTCATCTTACATTTAATGGGACCGGTTCAGGATGATGAGGCCATAAGCAATGCAGTTAAGACTAACCGTCAGAATAGCTGACAAATTATGTGGATCGTCGCCATAGCAAACTAGCGTGTCAGTCGACATCCGAAAGCAACCAAAGGGCGCACTTCTCGTCTCATCCACAAGAAAGCTTTCAAAGTTGTGAAACATGTTCTCTTGGCAACAAAGTGACAGCTGTTGTTGGGAGGTGATAACATGCCTTTGAATCGCTGGATCCTTGAGCCAGTCTCATGGGGATCGACTGCACCTGCATCATCACCGTTTTAGCTAAGCTCGCAAGAAACTGTGTGACCAGCGTCCAAAGCTCTCAACTTCAGCCCACGTAGACTTCCTTCGCGCAAGTGTCCGAAGGCTACATTCAACATGGCCTGGACAAGACCTGCGTCTGCACGCAGCCTTCGTTGTACCCAACCTCTGCCCTACAAAAGGTACATGTGCGCAGTTTAGCCCGAGCTCCGCACATAGCCACTGGGGGCTGTAGCAGCGACCTGGTCAAAAGCCACAGTTTGAACTGTGACTGATGGCATTAGAAGGTAGCCAAGGGTCAGCTGATAGCTCAAATCTTGGACTTGAAACGATGAAGTGTGTGGCACTGGCGTGGCTGCATCATGCGGCGCTGCAAGAAAAGAAAGCACCACCAATCAAAGAGATACTCTTCGCTTTCAAACTTAAGTGTCCTGGAAATATTGCAAATGTAGTCATCTTACATTTAATGGGACCGGTTCAGGATGATGAGGCCATAAGCAATGCAGTTAAGACTAACCGTCAGAATAGCTGACAAATTATGTGGATCGTCGCCATAGCAAACTAGCGTGTCAGTCGACATCCGAAAGCAACCAAAGGGCGCACTTCTCGTCTCATCCACAAGAAAGCTTTCAAAGTTGTGAAACATGTTCTCTTGGCAACAAAGTGACAGCTGTTGTTGGGAGGTGATAACATACCTTTGAATCACTGGATCCTTGAGCCAGTCTCATGGGGATCGACTGCACCTGCATCATCACCGTTTTACGCTAAGCTCGCAAGAAACTGTGTGACCAGCGTCCAAAGCTCTCAACTTCAGCCCACGTAGACTCCCTTCGCGCAAGTGTCCGAAGGCTACATTCAACATGGCCTGGACAAGACCTGCGTCTGCACGCAGCCTTCGTTGTACCCAACCTCTGCCCTACAAAAGGTACATGTGCGCAGTCCAGCCCGAGCTCCGCACATAGCCACTGGGGGCTGTAGCAGCGACCTGGTCACAAAAGCCACAGTTTGAACTGTGACTGATGGCATTAGAAGGTAGCCAAGGGTCAGCTGATGGCTCAAATCTTGGACTTGAAACGATGAAGTGTGTGGCACTGGTGTGGCTGCATCATGCGGCGCTGCAAGAAAAGAAAGCACCACCAATCAAAGAGATACTCTTCGCTTTCAAACTTAAGTGTCCTGGAAATGTTGCAAATGTAGTCATCTTACATTTAATGGGACCGGTTCAAGATGATGAGGCCATAAGCGCATACGCACAAGCAAGGCAAGGCAGTTACGGGATAGAGGACAAATATTGGGAATGTCGCCTGAAAGGCTGTTCAGGGCTTCTTCAAATGTGGTGTTTGACATCTCAACACAACCAAAGGGAACGCTTGCCGCCTCATCCTTGGCTTCGTCAAAGTTGTGAAACATGGTCTGCTGCCGCCAAGGATGGCTTTTTGTTTTAAAGAGAATGAACACGTACCTTGGGTACGTGTCTAAACCAGCATCCTGACAATTTTACAGTAAGCTCAGAAGGATCGGTGAGCTTTTCGGCCCCACAACGTTGTCGTGACTCCCAACAAAAACCCTCAGCTTGAGCCTAGCTGCCCTTCACGCAAGTGCTCAAAGCTTGTCAAACATGGACCAAGCCTTGCGTCCTCATCAGAAAGCAAAGCATGTGATCCCATCCAAACACAATTGGGTTGCAAAGGCAAGCCGCCGACCGAACAAACGCCGGGATACTCCGAGGCGAGAGGAGAACACGTTTTTTTCCTTACCGGCCTACAAAAAAAACAAGGAGCAGCATACATAGCCGTGGCTCAAACAAAATGTACCAAAATGGCACCTTAAATGGAACCAAAGACGAAAACCAGCGGTTTGCCCCAGCTGATTTTCAGCCACCCCCACATCAAGCCCAGCCCGAGCTCCGGGCATAGCTGGGGGCTGAGGCGGCAACCTGGGCAGTAGACACCGAAGGGTGCTTTTCCCGCACTCACCAGGTCCTGACTGGAAAGCCATGAGGAAAGTGCTATACAAATCCCATGGTTCTTTAACTAGCCACATGGCCGCTTTACTGAGCCATTCAGGCAAAATGGTGCGACTGCAACTGTACTTCTCCAGGCCAAGCCGGAACATCAGCCAAACACCTGGGAAAGCAATCAAAGTTGGAGGGCACTCTCGGAACTCCAGGGAACCCCAGGAGGAGAAAGGAACATGGTTCTAGGGAAGCTGAAGGGGCAGCGACTGAGGCAGCATCTCTTTCTCTTTCCCCATCTTCCGTGCGCCAAGCTGCGAATCTAAATGAATCATTCTGTCATATTTCGGGCCCCTCACTGCAGGGCAAAGACTTCAAACCGAAGAAGCTCGAAGGAGTCCCCCACGCGCGGTGACTCCCGGTCATGGCCCGCCTCCAGCAAAGGCGGTGAGTCGAAGGACCTCGAGGCACTAGAGGTGCATCGGTGCAGGTCCTTGCCGATGTGGATGGCCACACCGTCGCCGCCGAAGATGAGGCCGTGGACCTCTGAGGCTTGCAGCAGCATCTGGTTCTTGCCCGACCAGGGAAACACCTCCACCTTGCCCGTTTTCTGCAACCTTCTGAACACAAAGGCGTCGTCGGAAGCGCGTGGGCAGGAGAGCAAATCCACGTAGCCGCTGCTTCTGGCCCAAATGAGTGGCGAGAAGCCGCCGACGATGTCCATATCGCTGTTGTACACGAAGAACACCATGGCCGCGTCCTTGGACTGCTTGCACTTCTCCAAGCAGGTGCGCAGAGAGGTGCCATCCGTGACCGGCACGTAGACTAAATGGGGGTCGTAGACTCGGCAGCTCGCCGGCACCCAGGGCCAGATGACCTCCCAGAGCTCGTGGGGGACGTGACCTCTGGGCTCAAAAAGCCTGGGCCGGCAGAAGAGGTGCTTTCGGTAGCCCTGCTTGGGCGCGGGGTGGGAGATCATCCAGGAGCTGCCTACGCGGGCCAGGGACAGGTTCTTGATGGGCAGGGAGAAAGCCAGCTTGGTGAGCTGGTTGACTTCCTCGTGGTTGCCCTCACTTTCTTGGCAGGGGCTCTCTAAGACTTGGAACGCCTCCTCCACGCTCTGACAAGCCAGGAAGGAGTTCTCCTTCTGCTTCATCAGAGCCAGCCCAAAGCGCAGGATCACCTCCCAGCCTTCCCCCAGGAAGGCGCCCACCAGCCGGCAAAGCGCTCGGAAGGGAAGCTTGTTGGCCAGGCCATCCTGCAGGAAGCGCAGGGCGGCCTCTTCCAGGTTGATGCCCAAGCCCTCCAAGTGCGCAAAGACTTCAGGGACGACGCCGCGCTTCCTGCCTTCGCGAACAAAGAGCTTGGCCTGCTTCTGCATCTGCCCAAGACTGAGGATGATCTTCGGAGCTTCATCAGATGAAGCACTCTCTGCCTCCAACAGCAGTTCACTGACAATGAACATTGTCTCCGCCTCCGAAAAGAAGGTGAGCAACGTGAGCATCAAGTTTGGCAGGAACGGACAGAACTCAATCTGGTTGCTGGTCAGTTGCGAGACCCACAGCAGCCGCCGCAAAATGTGCTGACCTCGAGGCTTCATGAGCCACAGGTGTTTCACCACCTCCTTCAGAGGCGGCGAATCCTCCAGCCCGTTTAGCCCCTGGCAGAACGTGGGCACTGGGTCCTGAAACTCGAGCGGATGAACTGCACCAAAGCTTCGGAACAAAAGCTTGTTATAGACCTCGCCCGCATCCACGTCTGCGACCTTTGATGCCAGGGCTTCTCCCGCAGCCAAGGGCCAAATCAGCCGCTTCAAGCCATCAGGAACTCCTTTCCGCACAGAGGCCAGAAAGTCCGACAGCAGCTCCTCTGGGACACCTTTGCACTGCTGGAGGAAGGTAACCGCGGAGTCCGACCAGTGTATACTTTGCGCCTCCATAAGATCCACATCGGTGACCTTGTTCAAAGCATCCAAGTCCACAAGATCGCCCACACCTGCGAACATATGTTGAGAGTGCCCCTTTCGGTGGGTGGGGTTTTGAAACCCATGAAATCCCTGTGTTCCAAATTTCACGGGCTGACTCCAAGAACTCTTCCAGGCGAACGATAACAGTCATTCTTCAAGTGTTAAAGGGTGAACTGACCAACCAGGAATCAAGATTGTCAGGCATGCCCGAACTTTTAACCATGGCTTGTCAAATGGATTGTGGGCTTGCCCGCCTTTTCAAAATTCGACTGCCAGCAGTTCATTTGGACATTTCTGGGGAGAGAGTGCTCCTATCATCCCAGTTTACAAACTAGCCGGATGAGCGGCCCCACCCTGATTGGCAAAGTTGAACATCCCGCCATCTCAGCTTGAATGACTCCACCAACCATAGGTTACCGCCTCTAGGTGTCAGAAACTCTTTCTGGATCATCAGAAACATTTGCTGGAACCAGCATCTTGGCTGTCCAACTGCATGCCTGTGGCTCACATCGGGTTGGTGGAAGGAAGGCCTCTGCAAGTTGTGGTGATGAGCATACTTCCTCCACTCGCGAAAGAAATGCGCTTACCAGCCAAGCTGCTACCTGAGCCAGAAGATCAACCTTGCCATTGGCCACGGATCGCTGGTAGCTCACATGGGGGCTGGAAATGCGAGTGTTCTCTCGCCTCGATATGTTGAATTACTTGCAGCCCACTAGTCATATTACAAGTAGATGAGGACATGTGACACCTGCAAGTGGGCAACATTAAACGCCACATCATCAGGGCTAGGTTCTCTAGATCCTCTGCTTAGGTGGCACGCAATAGCTGGTATGGTGGAGGGTAAGAGAATAACTTATTCTACTTGCGCCCTCCGTAGGTCACCAAAACAGTTGCTGATACTCAGCTATCTTACGGTCAACCGCCAATGAAATGTTCGAGAAACAAGAAGCGATGGCAAATCGACTGCAGCACACATGCAAAAACTGTTTTAGATGGAAAGAGACAGGTTTCACTCAAGTCTATGCCGACCAATAGCAACCTAGCAGCCTGATGACACTGCTGCACATTGGCCTAACCTTCAACACATGTTGTTGTATGCCAAAGCCACGGGCACACACATATTCTATCCTTTTCTACCCTACTATAAAATTACCATAGAGCGTATGATGCACAAGGCAAGCCATGAGAATGCTACACTCAAATAGGCCCACGACCAACATGCATAGAATCTGTTTGTTTTAGAACTGTAGCTCCCGTTCAACCAAGCCCCTTGTTGCTGTAGTGACCCATTATATACATTCAAATCAATCACATGCAACTTCAAGGAGTCTGTTTGAGCAAACAGGACATCCTCCAACTTTGCAAACACGGGCCAGGGACTAGTAGGGGAACCCAAAACCGAAAGGCCACCCAAATCCTGGCCTATCTACTGGGTCCCAGTGACCCTGGGCCGAGTCTAGAGATTTGGGGGGGGGGGGAAGAAAACAAAACTATATATATATATACATATATATATATGTACATATATATAGATATTCAAAAAAACAAAACGGAGTCTGTTGTTGTTGGCGCGTTTTTTTCCCCACCCCTCCCCCCACCCCCTTGACCTCTTTGAAGAGCTGAGTGAAGAGCTACAAATGCTGAGGGAAGCTTTGAAGCACGGGTTTGATTTCGGGTTTGTCTGAGAACCCTTCATGGAAAGGAATGCAAACCAAACAACGCATCTTCATAATACTCAATATGCACTCCCCTAAAATAGGAAAAATTCAGGGTCCGCATAGGTGCCATTTCTGTTCAAGAAACCCACCCCTGATGAGGGGCCCTCTTGTTTTTTCCGAGGGTGCCTTTTGAGTGCGCTTCGATCGAACATCCGAAGGAAACAACCACTTCTGTGGGGCTCCCCTTTGAGACACGCCCGCCTTCCCTGCTGCCCCTGTACGCCAAGTTGGAGCCCCCCACCGCCTTGGAGAAGTCGCGCGCGTGGAGCCCGCCGCAGGGCACGTATCCCGCCAGACGGTTCAAAAAGGAGCGCCTCTTGCTGGCCGCCTCCAACTGAACCTTGATCTCTTTGGTCTGTTCCGGCGTGTACAGCGAGCTCCGCCTTCGCGCCGTCTTGAACTTGTCGAAACGTTTGGCCAGCGCCTGGGCCCAGTCCGCCACCTGCAAAGGAGCCTCCGGCTTCAGCTGCCACCAGGTGCCGCGGCTGTCGGCCACTCGCACGTGCTCGCTGCCCTCCGCGCGACCCAGCACGGAGGCCATGTGTGTCAGCATCACCATCTCCAGGGGCAGTGCGCTTGGACTGCCGTTGCGGACGTCTGTCGCCTCATGCACCGGCTTGTCCTTCAGGAAGATCAAGGCGTCTGCCGTGAGCCGCGCATAGACCCGTCGGCTGGCCGCTGACCTTGAAGACACCACAGACACCCATCCTTCGAGAAGCGACTTGGCACTTCCGGCACCTCGTTTGGCCAGTTCCTCTGGACTCGCCTGCTCAGACTGCAGCCCATGCCAGCACTGGCACTCCATGGCTTCCCAGGCCGGTTTCGGCAATGTTGAATAGCTATCACAACAATTGACTACACACTCAAGGTGGCATCATGTTGTGCCCTTCGGCTGAAGACACACACACACACACATGTACAAATACATATGCACTCATGCACATAACACAGCAGCAAATGATGCCTGATACACAGAGCCTCGATGTTCGGGACCGATGCCATCGTTCAGTGCAAGGCGTTTCCTCACGCAGTGAATAGTGCATGGCGTTCACTCCACTATCTCGATCCTATGCAATCGCATGCAGCTTCTGAAACCGTTAAGGTCACAAGGAACCTGCGAAAACATGTGACTCCTTTGACCACTGTCCGACTGTCACCAGCAAGGTCAAGAGAATATCTGTTGACCCCCATCTCCTCATCGATGTCACCACAATCCTTCCAAAATTCATATCGCATTGCCGAAGGCCTTTGGCAAGCTGCCAATGTTTACCAACACATATCAAACTCGGCCCTTCGGTCAACAAATTTAACCTTTTGATGGTCGGTGGGGGCAAAGACGGAAGGACCCAAAAGCAGTAAAAAAAACAAACATCCACTTTATTCAAACATTGCAAGCAAGTGGCAGCGACTCAACTGAGCCCACATTGCACCATTACAAACAGGAGCATTGAGAACCAGTGATATCCCGCCATGCGAAAGAAAATCATCCCCAACAGCAATCAATCCGCTCTTGGGTTTCCTCCAGCTCCCTCCGGCTCGGAGGCTCGGAGGCTCGGCCGCCTGGAAAAAAATGCAACGGGTCGCCAACCTGGGATAAGTTGCCCATGAGCAAGACAAGGTGCCTTTCACACCTGTGGTGTGACAGGACAAGCCACCGAACAGAACGGATCCTCAGAGCGCTGATCCGCTGCTCGTCGAAGCCTCAACGCCCTCAAATTCTCGATGAGCTCGCCGAATTTCAGCAGGCTGGATTAGACTGCAAATCGACATATACATAGATGCACGTCAATGAGGACTGTAGAAATAGTATACGTATATATGTAATATGCGTGGTCATGTACAGTAATATGCATATTACTCATGACTACAGGTAACGCAAACACTGGATCAGCATACAAACCGTCACTTGACCTGAGTCTAAATTCCCGGGCCAGTTTAAACAAGAACCGGCGCACCCATCCTCTCAATCTGGCTTGTCGCAGGTTTACTTTGCATTTGTTTGGTGTCTTTCAAACATGCACATGTTGGAAAGACCAAGTCGATTTGAGTCACAATTGCAACACCTCTCAACAAGGACCCAACACCATGGAGGGAAATCAATGCAGATGTCCGCACCGAATGTCTGGCTGGGACTGTCCTTTGCTAATCTTCATCTACTCGCGCGTCTGGTTTTGTGTAAATCCTGTGCATTGTACATGTATTAAAACTCAAGGACCCCCCCCCTTCCCCCGAGCAGAACTCCTTCGGTTTGGGAATTGAAATCATGGCGATTGCTTGGGAGCTGACCTCCAGCCAAATGATTGCCAAGCCGCCATGGGCACGGGCCGCACTGCGTTTGGCCGTCCTGGGCGCAAGACGCAACCATCGGACGGAAAAGGGGAGGGCAGCTGTCCAGTGCTCGAACAACTTGAAACTCTGGTTGCCCTGAGGGATTTGTTGAGATCGGGCTGTGGAAGAAACGTGGAACCCAGAGTGCTCGATGCCGCTCTAGCCTCTGGTATGGTCGACTCCAATTAGAACTCTCTGCTGCTTGCAGGCCAGCACTTTGGATGCATCCCCTAGCCCCTCCTTGTCCCACAGGCACCACGGCGGATCCCGCACACCTTAGTGGCCGGTGAGCAAACGAGGTGCGGGGGACAGAGGTTCAGGCTGGCTTCACCAAGCTGGGACACGATCTGCTTGGCGCGTCGAGTCCCCGAGTAAAGATGTGGGTGTGGCTCAAAATTGAAGAGCTAGGGTTACGCAGGTTTTAGTCTTTGGTATTTACCAAGGTGTCATTTTGGTACATTTATTTGAGCCACGGCCATGTGCTTCCAGGCGAGTCGAAAGGCGAGTCGTTCGCAACTCAAAGGGAAAGCTGCCCGGGGATGTGATCGCCACGCGAGATCAAATACCGATCCCGCAAAGACGTTCACCGAACATGTGCAGTTCAAAGAGGCCTATCGGCCCATAACCCTAGACCCCTGGAGGATGCCTGTTGCTCTGAAAGTCATGTCGGCTTTTGTGCGCAACAAGCTGCTGTATTACTACGGTTGGGCGGGGACACTGAAAATAAGTCACAGACTCACACGGGGACTGAAACACTAATAGCAAGAGCACGTCCTTGCACGAAGACACTAGTGAAGAACAAATGCTGACTCATCAGATATATAGCAGTGCTCCAAAGCAAGGCTGCCTCTCTATGGCTGGCATCAGCGTGGTTTCCTGTTGGATACAACTGTTATTGATCCTTGCTTCCAAAACCCTGCGATTTGGAGGCTTCCCTTAGAAGGTATTCCTTTGCAGGGGCACCCGAATAAGGAACCTCAACCTTGAGGCTTTCCTGAAGGAACCTCAACCTTGTCCGGGGTTTGATGAACCACACTGGAACAGGATCTCGACTAGGTCCCCAAGTAGTGCCCTTTTGCCAACTTGTTTGGGAGAAGGTGCCCCTACTAAAATAGGGTTTGATGAACCACACTGGAACAGGATCTCGACTAGGTCCCCAAGTAGTGCCCTTTTGCCAACTTGTTTGGGAGAAGGTTCCCCTACTAAAATAGGGTTTGATGAACCACACTGGAACAGGATCTCGACTAGGTCCCCAAGTAGTGCCCTTTTGCCAACTTGTTTGGGAGAAGGTTCCCCTACTAAAATAGGGTTTGATGAACCACACTGGAACAGGATCTCGACTAGGTCCCCAAGTAGTGCCCTTTTGCCAACTTGTTTGGGAGAAGGTTCCCCTACTAAAATAGGCTATAGAAGAAAAGAAATACCCTTGTTCTAACCTCTCTACTGGAGGACCTAGTCTACCACTTCCCGGGGATGCGAAACCCGGACACCTCCAACCTGAGAAGCGCTCGCATTCAAAACGATCCGAGACCCAGGGGCCGGGCTGAAAGATCCAGGGTGCGGGGCCTGGAGATCGCTAGGGGAAGCCTTGCGGCTTACAATGACCCCCACTGGGCGTGGATCGTTTGGAGGGGTCTCGTTTTGAGGAGAAATGGATGGTTTGGCGGATTTGTCCTGTTTTGGGGAGAAGGGAGAAAAACATTTGACCCCGTGTGGGCAGTCTGGGGGACTGAGGAGACTCCGTGCAAGAGAAACAGTATACTCATGCGATCCTTCTAAGGGTTGATTCCCCATTCTTTTCAACCATCGTTTTTTTCAAAAACCGGCGGATTCCCTGGGTTTATAGAAAGAAGGATCCCTGGAAAGAATGGGGAAGGTAGCCCTAGATTCCTGCGCTGATTTCACGAGCTTCTCGGCCGTGAGGCAGGTTGCAGTCAAGTCCAGTAGCGTAAGGAGTCACAGCCATATGGTGGATCGCACTCGACTCGAGATTTGGATCTTGTGACCTGCAAACATCCAGATTGCAGGGGCAGCCTCAGCAAGTTGTCCAGCCGCTCTGTTGCTGTGACGACAACGGACAAGAACCGCACTGGGTCAATGAACTGCAGGTAGTGGCCAACATGCAAGTATGCCATGTCTTCGCTAGCATGCCTCTTCTTGATGATGTTAGTCGGTCGATTTGACCCTCGTCTCTGTAACCATGCCTGGACAAATGCAAAACTTGGAACAATCTGTTTTGCGCGGTAGCGCAAACGCTCTGCACCATCGACAGAGCGATCCTGCCAGGCCCGTCTCACGCAAAGACTAATCTGAGGACTAAATAAGTAATAACATGTTGGTCCTACGCTACCACGATCCATGCCTGCTACTGCCTCAAATTCACTCCTCTGTACAGGCATTTCAGCATTTCCAGCCTTTCGTCTGGAAAAGAAATCCCCAAGCCCCCACAACCCCATTCTAATTCTTTAGACCCTTGTGGGTGGTTCTCAACATCGAACCCCAAGATGTGTGATGTCCTTTGATGGCCCTTGAAACACCAACCAAAAAAAGGGGGGTCTAATCAAGAATGTTGCACAACTCCCTTGCGCAAACCACCAGAACGCCGGCCCGGCGCGCCTGGCGCCATGGGCCGCATTGGCTGCGCCCAGCGTGGCCTCAAGGGATCAGCCAAGCTGAGACCCTGAACAGCGGTAGACCCCTAGAAGCTTGGAACATCGACCAAGACAAGCGGGTCTGGAACCAAGACGGACACCTGCATACATCCCCTCCCAACAAAAAGTCTCAGCGTACCAAAACACAGGGCCTCCTTTTCTGGACCTCTTGTAAGCGTGATGTCCAACGCATCCCAAAATAGTCTCTTCTGCATTGCAACAGTCTTCCAAGCCATCCCATGAACCCGTGCCACCCGTCACTCGGCCGAGAGGCATCTGGACCTGTGCGGTCGACTCAGTCCTGCGAGTTTTCACAACGAATGCGATCCACAGGATCGCCGGACTTGACCTGACAGCCCCATACCAAACTCCCCCCAGTCCTCAACCACAGTGCGGCTTCTCATGCGTGTAAAGACCCGCGGACAGGCAGAAAAGGCCGGGGGGTGTGGTTTGGCGGTTTGGTCTCAGGGTCTGTGTCCTGGCCCTTGTGTTTTGCTTGTCGAAGGGCAAAGCAGTGAGCATGTGAAAACCAACAGGCACATATTCAGCAAGCAAACGAAGGTATTTAGCGCCCTACGGGCTGTCACCAAATAGCCCGGGATGTGTTTGATGCCATGATTCAAGCCTGCATCGGATGTGCTTTCCTTCCATTGGCTTAAGTCGACTGGGAAAAATAGAAATGCTTCCAGTAAAGTGAGAGACAACTTCAGCAAAATGAAAGTTTCAGATGGCGAAGCATGTGTCAGAGTCAACACTTCCAAAGCCAGCTCTCCACAAGCTGATGCCCGGCATAAAGAAGGCAGGCCTGGGTTGATACTCCCTTCTGCCGGTGAGCAACCCCTCCAGGGGGAACACACGGAAATGTGGAAC